TGTGTGAAATGAAAACATGGCCTTGAATATATTTTTTTCAAGAAAAAGAAGAGATACTTTGATTAGGAATTCTCTGTACTTGTAATTTTTGGTGAGGGAAAGCCAAACTGTTGCCTGAAACGCTCTAGGGTATTTCAGGTGGCCTTTGGTGCACACGGGGGGCTTCTGAATTTTCCAGCTTGCAGAGGTTGGCTCAGCTGAGGCGTCACAGGCATGTTCCGCGGATGAAGAGACAGGTACACTTTGCATGTTGTTTCCGTCCGCCGCCCCTGCGTCTGCAGGCTCTTCCCTGCAGCACCAAGGCTGGAATTCTGTGGGCTGCCTTTGCAGGATTGCAGGGCCGTAATTCTGTCCTGAAGCTTGACAGACTCCCCGGGATCTTTCTGAGATGCGAAATGAGATCTAAAGTTCTCAAAGGTCATTTTCCTCAGGGTGGTTTAGTATTGTTGATTTTGTGTTCCCTCTGGGATACAGATTTCCAGGCTGTTTCTGTCTTACTAAACTTACCACGTACAACTAATGCTTCCAGTGAAATGGTGTCTCCTCAAAGGCAGGGGAGAGCCCCCTCAGGGCACATTTGGCAGTATCCAGAGACCCTTTTGGTCATCACAGCTGGGCTAGGAGGGAGTAAGTGCTACTGGCAGGTAGTAGGTCGAGGCCAGGGATGCTGCCGAACGTCCACGGACGGCCCTCACACCGAGTGGTCGAAACTGTGGGCTGGAGGAGGCCACCGCAGAGGCGTCTGCTGCTCAGCAGGCGCTCAGGAGGCTGCCACGCCCACACTGCCTGTGGGTGTGGAGGCGCAGGGTGCGTTCAAGCCCTTCTCTGTGGTGGAGCCTCCCTGTGGGTGGGATAGGATGCAAGTCCCTCTCATAACTAAAAATAATGAAGCTAAAGACCAATTTGGAAAGTCCAAGGCTTCTTGCCCTACTGGCCCTGGGACGAGCATTAGAAAATGGAGAATGTTCTGACATCCAGTGGGACTGGGTGGCCAAGGATTCCACTTGAACCCCAGCAGTGGCCAGCGGTCACAGAGAATGGAAGGAAAAATTCTTAATGGATTTTCTAATGTATTAGTGCTTCATTATTTTAATGAACAGCATTAATTAACTTTCAGAAATATAAATAGTAACTTTTAATATTTGAGAAATATAAAAATTGAATTTCAGCTCAAAAGGCAAGATCCCAGAACGTGGTATGTTAAAATTTATTCTGTGCTTCTTTGCTGCCTTTGGGGCCTTGGGGGCCTGTGCCTAGAAGGCAGCAAAGATGGCAGCATCCACCTCTTCCTGACAGTCATGCGGATGATGTGGTGGCAGGGATGTGGTCAGAGCTGCGCCAGCTGTATTTGGATGTTCCTCACTGAGCCTAGAACATTGAGGGAGGTAAATAAACAGCAAACAGAGTGTTGCCAACATATAAAAATGCAATGGTTTCCCAGACTGGTGCTAAAATCCTTTCTCCTCTCAGTGTAGGGGTGTTCCTGCCCAGTTAAACGGTTCATTTTGGCCTTTCTCTTCCCCTAGTAGTGGGGGCTGCAAGGCAACCAGTGGGAGGGAGGTGCTGGGGGAGGCAGGAAGAGGAGCTCTTCCTTGCCGTGTCTGGGGAGATGGTTATTCATGTTCTGCTCTGTCTAATGGAGCATTTGCTGAAGGCTTTTTACTTATGCAGATGATATGTAATACCTGCTCGTTAGAAAATACTGAATGAATGTAGAACTATATGATCGTAAACCCTGGAGGTTACCCTTTTCCTCCCTCCTTTTAATAGTTTGTGTGCATTTTGTATTTTTAAAAAATACAGGTAGTTTCTATTATAAAAGATTCTGAAAGATTAATACAGAAATATTAAAAGAAATGATATGACCCCCCTCACACCCACATGCACACCTCCCCCTCCCTAGCTGGAGTGAGCAGCCCTCAGTCCCTTGGTGTGTTTTCTTTCAGTGCCAGTGTGTGACCTGGTCACGCAGCACACGCGTACTGAGTCCTCATTCTGTGTAGAGCAGTGCTCACGTGCGAGGGATGTGATGCTTCACACACACAACTTTTCTTTTCTTCCCACAAAATGGGATCATATTATATGTGATGTTCTAAAACTTGCAGTTTTAAAATCGTATGAAGCCTCTAACGTCTTTCCATGGAAATGTGTATAAATAACCGCAGTCGTGTATAGCTGCACGGTGTTTTATTATATGGACGTGTGGACCGGCTTTTGTGTAATGCTTACTTCATGTTGGATAAATTAGGACCCAGAAAAGGCTCTTAGAGTCCCGGTGGGCCATCTGGGCCTGCTGTGGCATTGACGTGCTGGAGGCCCAGGCCCTTCCATCACACAGTTCTACTATCCCTCTGCTCTCGTCCTCTCCGTGGTCGAGGACGGCTTGCCATGTCCACCTTCCCTCCACGGGCAAAGGAAAGAGAAAAGGGTGAGCATGAGGACAGCACTTACAATTTGGGCTCTTCGCTTCTGATCATTTCCCATTGACTAGAATTTGGCTGCGAGATCAGACTTAGCTGCAAAGACACTGGGAAATGTGCTCAGCTAACACTTCCACTGGTGAAGAAGAGGGAGAAGACAGATATTAGACCAGTAGGCTCTTCCACAGCGGCATTTAGGTAGCTTCACAGGTTTTACCAGGAAAAATATTGTACGTCCTTGTACGTATAGTTATGTGTACAGATGCAAGTCTTTCTATAGGTTGGGCACCCAGAATTCAAAAGGGATGTACATTTAAAATATTAAAGTACTGCCAGATTGCCTTCCAAAAAAGCTTCCTTAATTTACATTCCCACTGACAGCAAACCAGTGTCCTGTGAACACAGCCTAGTCAACATGAGGTGTTGTTCACCTTTTACATTTCTTCCAAGTTGCTGGATGAAGATAGAGAGATAGATAGATAGATAGACAGACAGACACATAGATAGATGATTCTCATTGTAATTTGTATTTGCATGATTAATCAAGAGCATGAAACTCTTTCCATAATCATTGCTCATTCGTGTTTCTTCTACTGTGAACTGCCTGTTGGTGTCTTGTTTCTTGTTGTTTCCTCTTTTGTTGATCTGTAGCAGAAACTTATACATACACACACATTCTAAATATAAATCCTCCATCATGTATGTTATACCTACTTTATTCTTGGCATGTTTTTTAATGAAAATTATATAATTTTTATGTGAATTATGTTTTCCCTTAAGCCTTCTAGGTTTTGTGACTTGTTTAAGAAGGCCCACACCAAAATAAATAAAAATCTTTTATTCTGCTTTTATGTTTAGGTTTTAAATGTACCCTGAGTGTGTGTGGAGTCTGTTAGCAATAACGAATGGCTAGATTTATAGCATCGCTTTTGACTTGTTCATTCTTTCCTCACCGAGTTAAAATGCCACCTTCATTACAATTATGTATGTGACTCTATTTCTGGACTTTCTCTTCCAGTGATTTGTTGGTCTTGCCCTCCCTAATATCATCCTGTAATTGCCATAGACTTATAGTATATTTGATGTCTGGTAGTGCGAGTCCCTACTCATTATTCTCTATTAATTTTTTTTTTTTTGCTATTCTTGTGCATTTCTCTTCTGCACCAACTTTAGAAATATCTTGTCAAATTCCATTAAAGAAAACCACTGCTGGTATTTTGATTGGGCTTGCATTGACTCTGTAGATTCATTAGGGAAGAACTGACATCTTTAGAATCCTTCAATGAGAGTTCATTGAGAACGGGCATTTCACGTGCTCTCTGGCATCATGCAATGATGAGAAATAAGCATCAGATAAGGGCAGTTCAGCAACACGAAATAGCGTAGTGTAAGTAGCATTGGTCCCCTCATGATGTCTGTGTCTGCGCTCCACACACCTGTGCTGTCAGCACGTCGACTTGTCCTGTCTGCAGTGGCACTTGCATCTGGTGCTTTGCTGTCCACGTCGGGAGAGCCTCTGCCGCCTGGCTTTCGATGCCAGCCTTCTCTGGGCCTTGTGTGGTCTTCTTGTCTTCTGCCCTTTTTCGTGTTGCGTTGTAAACAATCCCGTCAGCAACAGCAGAGGCGGTGTTTGCGGCCCAGCTGCTGGGAAATGCAGTGCCCTTTACTGTCAGTGCGCAGCATTGATTTCTGCCACTTTCACCACTTTGACTTGCGGTGCAGCGGAGGGTAAATAAGTGACAGCCTTCTATGTCAAGAACTACTTGAAAATGTTACCTTTGAGTGAGGATTTTAATCGTTTCTCTGGTGAGATGAGGACGTGCTTTTCTACATTTATCAGTAATCACAGGAGTATTTTCGAGTGCTGAACAGTATAGTGAGTCCAGAAAAATATTTTGCTCCGTGAATTCGTGTTAATAGGTGGTTGTTCTGTGATTTGAAAAAAAATTACAAGGCCAAATCCACTTGTACCCCTAAGTGTGATTTTTTTTTTTAATCATCTAGAGGATAAAGTTAATAGCTCTGAAATGAAAGGGACGATGAGGCAAACGTCAATTTGAGGACCTGACCAACTCTTCAGAGCTCATCTCCTTTGTGAGCGAGGCACATGTTATGTTACGTGAGCACAGAGAAGTCACTGAGTAAAACGGTGCGCAGGCAGTGGTGCACGTAGCACGCACGTCCTTAGGTCATAAGAGAAAGCTATGGTTTGGGGTGAGCGGGTGGGAGAGGAGGAGTTAAGAATGAAGGTCTCCGGTAGGATACATGGAGGGTCATCTCACAGTGGGAATGAGCCGTGTTCCCAGCAGACAGCGGGCCACTGAACCAGGTGGCAACTGCAGAGGAGTCCGGGGCCAGGGATGGAGCTGTGACAGCCGTCCAGCACTCCCACTGCTGCGTGAAACAGCGTATGGGCTGATGGTGGAGGAGCTTGGTGTGCTGTCACTTATGGTGTGTAGAGACGATAGCTCAAGAACTCTCTCCACGGCCACGCCCACTGTGTTGTCCCTTCCTTGGCATGCTGGTTAGCAAGCAGAGTTCTCGAGGTGTAAGTCACACTGTGCGCTGTTTGTTTTCCAGAACTACACTCAGTACATCCCTCTGTCTATATATGACCTGCAGACGTGGATGGGCAGCCCGTCGATATTTGTCTACGACTGCTCCAATGCCGGCCTTATCGTCAAGTCCTTCAAGCAGTTTGCCCTGCAGAGGGAGCAGGAGTTGGAGGTGAGGCACTCGAATGCCCCGGGATTGGGGCTGAGTCTTTGTTTTGTTTTCTCTGGGATGGTGTGGTGGGGTGGGGTGCAGTGGGGTGGGTGTTGGGCTCCAGGTGCTGCTTCCCTTCATTCTTTGAGTGGAGAATTGCACAGGTGTATTCCATGACAAAGAACTTGGGAGGTCCTCGGTACAAGCTTGTAGGCTCATGTATACATCTCATTTTACTCAGTGTCTTTTTTAATCTGAACATTAATTAAGTGGTAACATTAACAGAGTTGATTTATGCTCCACTGGTCTCTACCTCTGAGATAAATGTTAAAATAAAGCAGACACATTCATTTTAGGAGAAATGGACCCACATCTGGGCACAGTCTGCAGTTCCACTAGCACTTTGTTATTGCCTCAATTCTATTTTCTTTTGTGTTAAAAAACAAACAAAAACCCACTAAGCTAAATACAGAAAATAAACCAGAACAGCTGCCATTGGTGGCTTCCGTTGAAAGAGCTGGAAAGCCAGTGCAGTGCTCTGATCGTGAAGAGACATTTTACTTGGTTGTTTTAATTAATATTTGATGTTTGAAAAAACAGTGAATTCTAAAGAGAAATCGAAGAGGTAGTTTCAATTAAGAGGCCTCCATCCTGTGGCCTACACGAAAGTGTGAGAATAAAATATTCTGCAGCCTCGAGGGAGTCATGAATTCTGATTGGTTACAGTGCAGGAAACTCTCAATTCAGGAGCAAAAATGGTCCAGAGTACATGTTTCCTCAAGCCTTTTTGGGTCTATCCAATTTTAATGTATTGTTATGTTTTTTCACATTTCATCGGAGGATATTGCTGTCATACAGTTTAATGTTTCATATTTATAAATTAAGCCCTTACGCAGAACATTGCATAAGAGTGACTGATAAATAAAATGCCCTTTATCCTTGAAAATGGAACCAAGTGCCACAGTTATTATTTTTGCATTCTATAAAAAGAGAAGGGGAAGATTAAGTTTTGTATCATCAAATTTTTGCCTTGCTTTTGGGCATTTCGTCTAGGTTTAACCAAGGGATAGGTTATCTGATGAGCACTAAAAAAATCAAAGCGGCGAGAGATAATTTGCTTTTTCTCGCATCGTCATAAATATTGCAAAAAAATTTTTTTTTACATTTATAATATGTAAATAAAAATGCCAAAGAATTCTGCCTGGTTTTTATACCCAATTTATGAGCTTCGGGTGGTTAAGAAAGACCAATACATCAGCCTTAGTTAATTAAAACATGTTAAATATGGCCTCTCTCCACCCCTTTCAGCAGAAAGCAAGCATTTCTCTCTCTTGCATGAGACTAAATGTTTTCTTTGCAGCACTTTGAGTATCTGCTCTGTCAGTCCTGTATGTATTCTCTGTGTGTTGCCAAGGATTACTCAGCCTAAGAAACGGTTCATTTCATCAAGTGCAACGAAAAAGATTTCCATGCATCTTTTTTGGGAAAAAAAATGTTTAATTGACTAATGCCTCATGGAAGAGAGCAAATGAAAAGTATGTTATCTGAAGTGGCAAAGAGACGGCAATGCAAAGTTCTACCATATGTTCTATAATTAGCTCTGACTTTTATCTTCAGTCCTTTTTTTAATTACGTGTAGATAAGTCTTATGTTTTTCCAATACACTTACTGTTATTGGCTATTGTTCAGTTTGGTCTCTTGCATAAACAGCGGAAATTAAAAAGATAAAATTGGCTCTTAGCATGTATCTTAATGTTCACGTTAGTCATTTTATTATCTGCTGTAGAAATAGCAGTCCTATATGGCCTCTTAGGTTTATTCTTTTAAAAAATTATTTCCCTCTTACACTTGACCAAATTCTTTGTAAATTTACAATACATTTTAGCACTTTTATTGGTAAATGATAACATGTGAACTGAAAGAAATTGGCAGATAAAGTGGTTTGTGCCAGTGTTTAAACAATAAAGAGGGTAAAAAGTGATTAAATATAATGCAGGAAGATGGTTCCTTGGACCAGAAAGCCTCCGAGTAATAAACATGGACACAAGTCTGCGCGACATAAATTTTAAGGATGATTATCGGCTTCGTGTTCTTGGTCACACAGCACTGTGCTGGGACCGGGAGGGTTCCTTGCTGTGGACGCCCATCTCACAGGACCATTGCAGGCGAGGCTGAGGACGGCCTCTGGAGAGCGCAGTGCAAACGACCACACACAACTCAAACGTCCTTCTAGCCAGGACACGCGCGTCCGTCACTCCGCCGTCTTCTACGTTTTTATTTGTCGTATTGCTTTTTTCATTGTCATATTGCTTTGTAATTTGTAAATTAAGGAAAATCTTCCAATCTTTCTGCTTTCAACATTCTTTTTAAAATAAGTATTTTTATTTTTACGAAATTAGTATGCCATGATTTTAAAAATCAAATATTAGAGAGGACTTATAATGAATGAAATAGTTCCTGGCCTGACTCCTCCCCGGTCAAGACTGCTACTGATGGAAACCTCCTTTAACTGTTCATGTTTCTAGTTCCTCCACTGAGTACCTCTACACGTGTAAATAATATGCTTATACTACCACTCCTTGATTCCTGAATTTTAGGTTACCTATGGCCTTTCTGTCGTCATACAAACCAAAAACAGAGCTGCCATTAGTAAATTGTATTTAAAGAATTGGAGAAACTATATAGAACATTGACAGTAAAGACACGTTACATGGTAGTTTTAAGTTGTATTTGGTGTTTGCGTTAAACAGTGAATTCTAAAGGGAAATTGAAGGCGGGGCACTAAATGGCCTCTCCCCATTTCCCCACTGCCACGTAGTTATATCTCTCTGTCTGGATTCTCAAGACTTTGTAACCTTTGCAATTTTAAATATGCTTTTATCTCTAGTTTCATCAGTGATCAGTAGTATCTTTTGGTTTTTAGGCTCTTAGCTTCCTTAGACTTTCTTTTGCCTCTTGACCTTTGAAACTCTGTCATCTGCACTTTTACTTTATGATTATCTTCTGTTCTCTGACCATAATTAAGCCCCCATGCTTTGTATCTGGGTTGATTCTAAAAAATAACAAACAGTAAAGCTCAATTCCCTGATTATGACCATGCAAATATTGTTCATTGAATGGCTAAGTAGGGTGCTGTGACTTGCGTTTTAATAACCGTTATTGTTTGTTTCTTTGATTTTCTTGGAAATTTTCTCTTTTCTTCTTGACTTAGATGTTTAACGTTTCTTCAGTCCCCAAATTCACAAGGATAGCATCAAATCTCAGAAAATGCCCTTTCCCCAAAGTGTCTTCCTCCCCAGCTCTCCACTGCCACATCCAGGTGATTGTTTTAAGCAGGCCTGCTCTGTAGCCGTCATCCTGGGATTTCCCTTATGGCTCTCCTGGATGCATCCACTATGTTCTAGATCCCATCTCCTCCTCTTTCTGGATTGTCTCCTTTGTTCTGCCTGGGCAAATCTGCAAGTAACAACCTAAGAAAGGATGTATGGGAGTAATCTTTCTCAGACCTTAGATGTTTGCATTTGGAATGCTTTCAGCTGTAAGTAATGAAAAATCTCACTATAGGTTTTTAAACAAATAACAGTTTGTCTTTTTCACTAAGCTCTCTGAGGCAAATGATTTAATTATTCAGCAATGCCATCAGGGACCCAGGCTGTTTTTATCTTCCCACTCTGGCTTCCTTAGCCGGTTGATGTTTTATCTTGATGGTTACAGTGCGCCCACCATGGCTCCAGGCATTTCATCTGTCTTTGAGGCAGGAAGAGGTGTGGAAAGGCGGTGCCAGCACATCTGTCTCTCTTACTAGGAAAGCAGAGCTGACTTCCCCTCTATCTCATGTATTGGAGCAGGGCCATGTGGCCACCCACCTGTAGTGGGGAATGGGTATCGGACTATCTGATGACGAGTGTCAGCCACGTTGCGTGTCTGAAATGTCTTCATTCTATCCACATGCATTATTGACAGTTTGGGAATGGAATTTTAGGCTGTTTCCACTAAGCAATATCACTGTTGCTTCTTGCAGTGGATGAGTAGATGTACTTGAAAAGTCTGCCCGCTGGCCTTGTGTAACTCTAACCAGGAATCCAGGGGTACAACTACTTACATTCAGACATAAGCCATAGAAGGATATTTATATTCATGATATACAACATATATGTTGAATGAGTTGGAGAGAGAGAAAGAAAAAGATTTTTGAAACAGCTTTTATCTTGGACATTAAATCTTTGGTCTGTGAAAAGAAAGGATGACTAAATCTCAAACACATTCTCTTTGAAACAGTCTTTATGAAGTTGTATCCATCACTTCTGCTTCTGGTGGCTATTTCCCACAGGCAGTTACAGCTCTTCACTGAAGACAGCAGTCAAGCATGGTGGCGAACCTAGGCAATCTCTCTCTTTTTGTTTGGAAGCAAGTGAGCAACTTGATGTCTAGTGGGAGGAACAATAGTGCCTTTTCTTTTACAGAGACAGAGTGGCTGGACCGTGCCCCAGGAACACTTGCTCCTGAACATAACCATCCTCCCAGGCGGAGGACTGGAGCACAGACAGTGTCTTGGTGGGCGCCATGGCAGTAGCCTGAGAGTTCCTCCTGCAGAATCGTTGCCACGTTTTAGGAATCGGCTCTGATGGCAGTTCAACCGTCACCCCGGTGGCATGATTCTCTTACTACTTGTTGCCCTTTGCAAAGCTTTTCTCATGATGCTTCCAAGTAAATCATGTTTTTAGCTGACATTCTCTAAACACTATTGTGTGATCCACTCCTCTTAACTCTAGCAGTACCATCCAGCAGCACAGAAACCTGTCAAACGGACACTCGTTTTCATAGCAAGAAACAAACTTGGTTCTGTGGCATCACTGAATCCACAATGACTTACAACTCTATTTTCTATTTTGAAATCTTGTATTTGAACTGATATATAATACATTATCCTCATGTACCCATTGCTGTGACTAAACTTTATGTCAGATATTTAAACTAAGTAATTCTGACAAAAATGACTAACACCAGAATCTTCAGGTTTC